AGTCGTCACCGTAAAAATATCGGTGAAAATCTATTGGTTAATATCGCAGAACAAACGCCAGTCTTTAGAACATCGCTAGCAACTGCGATGGCGTGTTTACAAGCAGGTCACACGGCAGGGGGGGCGGATGATTAAATTTCAAGACCTAGAAGAAGTGTGTCAACGAGGGTGACGTAAGAGGACAGTATGTCGCCCATGCGCGTGCCGGCTGGCTCAACATTCTTGAGCTTTCGTCAGTTTTACGTGCGCGCATCTACGCGAGTGCCGCTCATCGTCACGTTGTCTCTNGATGTCGAAGATCCTGCAGAACATTGCCAACCACGTACTGTTCACCAAGGAACAACACATGCGACACTTCAATGACTTCCTCAAGACGAACTTCGAGGCCGGCAGAAGGTAGGCATCTGCTGCGTGGCAAAATGCAGACGGTTGCATAAATTTAATGGAGAAAAAACTTAAAAAGAAAGTATATATATAGAAATAGTATATTAATAAAAAAATAATAATGTATAAAAATAATTTAATTAATTAAATCAAATTAATAAAGTAATTTAAATCGTTGAATTAGGTTTAATTATTTAGTGTCGATGATAGCATGGAGGGGTGGAGAGGTAGGGGTTGGGGGTGTGTATATATACATGAGAGGATATCCGGTGAATCTCGACATCGGTCATTATTTCGATCATGGTTTCTCCATGTGACATGTGGAGGAACGCCGCACCCACGCCTCTCACTCGCAGCGCTGACAGTGCGTTCACAGTGTGTTCGCGGCGTGTTCACGGTGCGTTTGCTGCGTGTTCGTGGTGTGTTCACAGCGCCTTCACAGTTTGTTCGCGGTGTGTTCACAGCGCCTTCACAGTTTGTTCGCGGTGTGTTCACGGCGCCTTCACAGTTCGTTCGTGGCGTTTCGCAGGTTCTTCATCCAGATCGCGTCCGACTGTGAGACGATTGACTCTGCGAGTCACAGCCTGTCGTTCATCAGTGATGCGAACGTCATGGCCCTCCATCGTCTGCTGTGGAACCACCAGGAGAAGATAGGAGACTACCTGTCCAGCAGCAGGTCAGTGCGGCGAGGGAGGAGAG